ATAATATTCTTAAATAGTATTTCTATCTTAAATAATGTGAGGGAAAAGGGAAAAGTCAAAAACAGATCAGGCCGGCCAGAGAACTGAGAGAAGAAGAAAAAACTAAGCAATCTTCTTTTCCAATCGTCTTTTTGGAGAAAAAAATTAAAGAAACCAACCATTTTTTCCAATTGCCTCAAAGATTCTTGAGGCAAAGAAGAGAGAAACCAATTATTTCTTTTATATAGTAGATGAAAATACTACTATAGATGATGCACAATTACCTGAAGATTTTTTCAAAACCAATTATTTCTTTTATATAGTAGATCGAGCAATTAGATCACTTGAACGAAGGTTTGATCAATTCAATTCATATGAAAAAAAAAATTGAATTTATATTTTCTTCTAACAAGTTAAACTCATTGGATGTTGCTAATTTGAAAGTATGTTATGATCATCTTGATATTGTTTTAAGACATGCAATTTTTTGCGATCTAGATTGTGAAAATTTATTTCAAGAGTTAAAAATTTTGCGAAATCTTTTGTCAAAAGAAATAAAGACAGCTTTTGATATATTGACTAATTTAAAAAGATTGGATTGCTTTTCGAATACATGTATTACTTATAGAATATTATTGACAATTCCTGTTACTGTTGCATCTGAAAGAAAATTTTCAAATTGAAGTTAAAAGTCTTATTTGCGATCAACCATGTTACAAGAACGATTGAATGGATTAGTTTTAATATCTGTTGAGCAAGACTTTCTAAATTATGAAAGTTTAGTAGGTGAGTTTGCTTCTAAAAATGTAAGAAGAAATATTTTTACATACTTTTGTTGTATTTCAAGCTTTACACTTGATACACACACACACACACACACACACACACACACATATATATATATATATATATATATATTTTCAAGGTTTGCTTATATGAAATTGCACAAAGAGGCTAATGGATTGGATGGTTCTTTGTTGATGACATATGATTTTTGATGAAATCCGAGAGATGCTTTTTAACTTTATTTATATTTTTCTTGTTCATGTATGAAAGAAAAAAAATTAAATATCATATTTTTGCAATGAAATAATATTATTGAAATATTTTTTTAATATATGTTTTAGTTACTTGAAGGGGATATCATTTTAAAATCTCGCACAGGACACCCAAAATCTCAGGATCGACTCTGATTGGGTGCAATCGACTGGGCATAGGATTGGTAAAAAAATCTATCCACTCGAACCCTCTGACCCCAATCAAAATGGTATGAGAATTCCTATTTCCAGTTTCCGTTTAGTGTCATTTAAAAATAAATAAATTTCAAATAAAAATATAATTTACCCGTCACACTCTATCCATCCTCTCTTCAAGACTTCAACAGTTCAACCACAAGGTAATTGGGACAGTACTATTATAGGGATGTAAATGATTGAGTCGAGTCAAGTTACTCGATTCACTAACTGCTCCACCACAACATTATTTTCTAAAATCTCATTGAAAATTTAATATTTTTGTCTTGAGCCTGAGCTGCCTCGTATAGAAAATGCTAGCTCGAATAGCCCTACGACTCAGTTTTTCTTTGAGGTTGTTCATGTTTGTCCCCTAATTTTAAAAATTTATTTTTCTTCTAACTCATTTTCAATCACACATTTCATAAGATCCACAATTTTTATCAATTTTTCAACTGCACATTTCACCAATTTTTTATTAAAATTTACTAAAAAAATTTAGCCCCTAGTTGTGGCCATTATTGAGAAAAAAAATTATATTTTGAATAGTTATTTTTTGGAGATTGTAAGGAAAAAGTTATGGAGCTTAGTTGCAAAATATTTTATCATTTAAATGTGTGATTAAAAATGAGTATAAAAATAAAAGAGTTTGTTTTACAAGAAGACAAATAGGAGACAATTTTTCAACAGAGTTGCACATACAGAAGCCCTTTACACAGAATTTGGCCAGACAACACACAACATGGAGTGGGTGGGTGATTTTTGGCATTATTTTATCATCCACATGGAGCCCACCATATGAGTAATCTGGTGGACTTCTATAGCCTCATTTCTGTACAAAGGGCTTAAACCTTAATTTTTATCCAAATCAAATATAGGCTTACTAAGACTCGTATTCTATCTCTGTATTACTAATTTTGAATGCTTTTGTTCCCCAAAAATGGTCAGCTTCTTTGTCATTTATTCGACCAATCTTGAAACAGTCTAAAAAATCCTATTACATAAAGCAGCGATTTCATATCAAAGTTACTATACTTATTTTATTTAATAACAAGAAATCTTTTATTATTATTATTATTATTATTATTATTATTATTATTATTATTATTATTAGTTAGAAGTATGATTGTGGTGTTTTGAGAATTTAGTGTTCGAAATTACATTTACTAACTACCACAACCGATAACGATAAATCGATTGGTTTCACGTAAAAATACTCTATAATATGTTCACATGCATTGAGAAACAAAAAGCATGTATACTTAGAAGAAATAAATTAATTATACAATATCGTTCACATTCACATTAAATCACGAGTAATTTTACATCGTAGGATCTAATTTAGTAATTATCGAACAATAAATTATTTATGCTTCCAATCAACACATTTATGCTGTATGAAACTATTTTATATTTCCATAACTGCGAAAGAATTGTTATTTTAATTTTCCGTTAATTGTAATTTTGTTGTGTTAATATGTTCTTTTTTTATTTTAATTTTAGGATCCGATTTGTTTGTTGATGGTGATAAAGAGCCCTTATATAAATAATTTCTCAATATATTTAAAAAAAATCATAAAAATATCCTTATTTCATAATTATATATGTATATAATATTCACGATTAAGTATAATAAAATAATTATAGTCGAATATCTAGACATATAATATATTTTTCTCGTATTTGTGTCTGCACATTGAACCTTGAATAAA